AGGGGCTCTGACATGTGGTCATCTTATGCTGCCTTTCCCATGCTGTTAGCAGGAAGCTGGATCTGAAGTGGAACAGCTGGGACATGAACCAGCATCCATATGGGATACTGGGTGCCTGCATGGATGCCCATTGTCACAGGTGTCGGTTTTATCTGCTATGCTACAATGCCACACCCTATATTCCTACCCTTAATATAATACTTCTTCAAGGACTGTCTCTGGATCTTGACAGTTCTAGGTGTGTAGGGAGTAATTTATGTTTTTACAGAAAAGAAGACAAAAATTTAGGGACTTAATTTAATGTCATCCATTACAAGCTATGTAAATACCATTATTCTCCAGGCTGTTTCTTTTGGACCTTGTGCTGGAAGTACAGTGCCTTTGATGTGTTGTCTCACCTTCAAAATCAACTGTATTTTTAGTTTCTGAAGGGTGAATATAAAAAATACTTACCACCATCATCAGTTGACAGCACAGTTAGTGCTCATGGTGCAGTGGGATTATTACTCTTAACCTACACAGACCACATTACTGCTCCCTGTTATGCCCAGGCTGCTTTTTGGGAGGAGGAGCTATAAGGGTGACTGTTAGAGAAGGGGCTGTATCTGTTCAGAGGATGTCAACCCATTCATCAGAGAGAGGATATCACACCAAAAAAGACTGTATTAAGCATTTAAAAAAATATTTATTTATTTTACTTGAAAGAGTTCCAGAGAGGCAGAGGCAGAGGCAGAGGCAGAGAGGCGGAGAGGCGGAGAGGCGGAGAGGCGGAGAGGCGGAGAGGCGGAGAGGCGGAGAGGCGGAGAGGCGGAGAGGCGGAGAGGGAGAGGGAGAGGGAGAGGGAGAGGGAGAGGGAGAGGGAGAGGTCTTCCATCTGCTGGTTCACTCCACAAATGGCCACAGTGGACAGAGCTGGGCTGATTTGGAGCCAGGAGCTAAGAGCTTCTGCTGGATCTCCCACACAGGTGCAAGGACCCAAGGGCGTGGGCCATCTTCCACTACTTTCCCAGGCCATAGCAAAGGGCTGGATTGGAAGAGGAGTACCTGGGCCTTAAACTGGTGCCCATATGGGATGCTGGCACTGCAGATGGCGGCTTTACCCACAACGCCACAGTGGCAGCCCCTTAAGCACTTTTTGTGTATTGATTTTAACCCCAATAACAACCTTAAGAATTGATATGTCTTTTTTGTCTCATTAGAGAGATGAGATGAGGTCTCATAGCAAATCAGTGGTGGTGCTGAGATATGAACCCAGGTTATCCTGCCCCAGAGTCTGTTCTCTTAACCCTTGTCCAATATAAATATTGTGTTACTGATAAAAAAAAAAAGTCAGGGATGATAGAATATTTTATTTTGGGGATGTGAGATGAATAGAGGTAGTCTTTCACATTTCCTATCTCCATATTTGGACATTATTCTTCAAGATTCACAGAACTGAACAATGTTTTTGTACTAAAATTTGTTATTGGTAATAGCAGTAGTAGCCATCTTTTATAATGTGCCAGCTGCATGTCAGTCACTATGTTGGGTGTTTTTGGCTGGCCAAATTGCTCTCTAGAATCAATGCTTGTATTGAATCTTTCAGAAGATTGTAGAGTAAGTGGCCAAGAAAGGAATCAAACCAACTTACTTGTCCTTTTTTGCCATTATGCTTTCAGTTAGGAATCCTGCTACACTGGAATTAGTTGATATTGTTTCCTTTCCTTTCAGACTCTTGAAAAACCTGTGAATTCTAAGTGAGTTATAATCACTAGTGGCACCTTTATCATTATGCTGACCTTCAAATTAGCATTCTTCTCACCTCTCTCAATTTTTTATTTCTCATTTACCAAGTATTGACTTGTGTGAAATCATGAAAAAGTTAGAGCTCAGAGCTTTGCCCAGCAGATGGCATTTGTGTGAGTTTTGCAGGATCCATTGGAATTAGTCACTTGCTAGTTACCCAATTTTGTTTGAATATTCTATTCCCCATTAATATTGCACCATTTACATAAAGAGAATGTGCCAAAATTGCTGTAATCTATTCTGTAATCAAATCTGCCCACTCTAGATGCACAGTTTATGTTTTTTAAATTGTTTATTGCAAAATGCTCTCATGAAAATAATTCTTTCTCTGTTCACCGTAATCACTAATATGTTAATCAGCTCTCAAACATAGGTTAGGGGCTCTTGAAAGGCTTGTGTACTTTTAGTCTAACAGTCTCTGCTTTTCAAAGTTTGGCAACAATGGTGGTGAGAAACACAAACCAGGATTGCATGTAGTCATTGCATTCATGCATATTATGGATTTCTGTGTGTTTAAAGATCTGGTACACATAACTGTACTAAGAATGGAATGGCATTGGTTTGTCAGTTAATAAGTCAGTACATCCTCAAGAATTACTTTCTGAACACACTGCCTATTTCTTCATCTCCATGCCACAGTGCCTTCCTCATAAACAGTTTTCATGAAATGAGGTATTTTGTCAGTAGCACAGTGAGGAAGGATGGAAAGAAGAAGCCAGCATAAGAATTGTCTTAAGATGTGAAATGTTTGCAAAGGCCAGGAAGTTGTCAGGAAAGGGACAGTTGTAGAACTATGATATGTTTTTGCAACCTTGGAAATAATTTAGAAGCAAATTTCTACTGTTTTATTTGATTTCTTCATTCTGCCTACCCCTGGGAAATGTATGGACTATTTCCTGTTGATAGAAATGTTAAGAGGCCCTGTTCTGTAGGTAAAGCAGAAAATGTGAAACCAACTGCCAAAAATCAGAAGATTCTTTATTAAATAGTAGTGACTAGCTCCCTTCCTGGAGTGGACAGGTGTCTTGATTTGAATGTTTGTTGGTAGATTCAGTCAGTTTCTCTCTCTCTCTCTCTCTCTCTCTCTCTTGTTCTTTCTTTTTTAAAGATTATTTATTTGAAGGAGAGAGAGAAAAAGAGAGAGAAAGTCTTCATCCACTGGTTCAATCACCAAATGGCTACAGTGGCTGCAGCTGGGCTGATCTGAAGCTAGGAACTAGGAGCTTCTTCCAGGTCTCCCATCCAAAGGGGCCCAAAGATTTGACCATCTTCTGCTGCTTTCCCCGGCCACAGCAGAGAGCTGAATCAGAAATGGAGCAGTCAGGACTTGAACCGGTGCCCATATGGGATGCTGGCACTGCAGGCTGTGGCTTTACCTGCTGTGCCACAGCGCCAGCCCCATGCTATTTCTTTTTTTCCTTTTTTTAAAGATTTATTTATTTTATTTGAAAGAGTTACACGGAGAAAGAAGGCGAGGCAGAGAGAGAGAGGTCTTCCATCCGCTGGTTTACTCCCCAGTTGTCTGCAATGGTTGGAGCTGTGCCCATATGAAACCAGGAGCTGGGAGCTTCTTCCTGTCTCCCACCCAGGTGCAGGGGCCCAAGGACTTGGGCCATCTTCTACTGCCTTCCAGGCGATAGAAGAGAGCTGGATTGGAAATGGAGCAGCCGGGACTCGAACTGACGCCCATATGGGATGCCAGCATTTCAGGCAGTGGCTTTACTCACTATGCCACAGTACCTGCCCCTGCTATTTCTTTTTAAGACTTAATATTTAATGAATGCCTCTAAGGTAATACTTTTTTTTTCCGGTCAGCATCACTGTGAGATTTTTCTTTATTTTAACCTTTGGAGGGAGAACTACATCTTTTCCTGGTTACTTTTGAAGTTTGTAGTATATAAGTAAAGACTAATTTTATTCTGGTTTTTAGAATAATGAATATCTAGAAACAGAGCCAACAGGTGAAGTCAGCCAGTACATTCGGGACATTCACCTTTTGTTCTTTTTATTTATAATCAGCCTACTCAAATATTTCGGGCACATAGGTAGCCAGAATGCAGAATAAAATTTCTCTACTGCCTAGAATACCAGTCAGTTCAATCATGATGATTATTAAGCTGAGATGGTAGAATGCCATTATCTGCTCATGTTGGAAACAATCCGCTCTCTTAATGAGGACATCTTAATTTAAGATCCATGGTGTCAACTGAGCTGTTGAAAAATCCTGTAGAAAGAGCAGGTAGGTTGAAGTTCCCATCCAGGGAGGTCCTTGAGTAGGTGCACTCAGTCTGCTGCACTCTTCACTGTGACTACTTGGAAGGAGTCCATCAAGGTAATCCAGAATCAGGATATTGGGATCTCATTTCTTTGTTCCAGTACTGTATATAGTCAATAAAATGTAAATTCCATAGGGGTAGTATATTGTTTTTGTTGATTGTTGTATCCCTAGATCCTTGCACAGTGCCTAGCAAGCATTATTTATTTCATAAATAGTTGTTGATTAAATGAGTGAATGACTTCAGATAGGAACTTAGGTTTTTGTTAGTGGTAAGGCCTTTGAACCTTCTACCTTGTGAACTAGGAAGTGTGCAAAGTTGTAACAACCCAAGTCTTGTTAAAGCAGCTCTATTGCTGTTGTTTCACTCCTGCCTATAAAGAGTAGATCTCCTGCATCTCCAGCCCCCAGAATTGAACAGTTGTCTGCTTTACTCATGAGGGTAAGCTGCTAGTGAGGAAGTGTCTAATACATTTTCCCAGGAGAGTTTTCCTAAAGGATGTAGTGAACACTCTTCATATTCTTCTCCAAAATGAGAATAGATGAGGAATAATTTAGAGTCTGTGGTCTTGAAAGAAGTGAAGGGATATTCCAGCAGGAGGGCAGTATGGTAAGTCACTTTGTAGCACATGTGCGCAGAACCTGTAGATCTACTGATACCCATTAGAGCTTGTACAAACCTAAGTATGTTTGTGGTTCCCCTGACTTCTACAATCTGGGAATCAGTGTACCCATGGGAACTGGGAAAACCAAACAGGTGCAGAAAAGGGGGGAAGACAGGAGTGAGAAGCATTACAGCACTCTGAGAATGGAGTGGAGCACAAGAACATCCATTTTTGTGTCATACTTAGACAAGTGCTTATAGAAGTTTTAAGTCAGATAGTTTTAAAATAATTTCATAGAGAGTCTCTAACCACAGCATGTTTTTTTTCTACCCCAGCTGTTCCAAAGACCTAATGCACTTGCTGTCCAGCAGTTGACAGCTGCTCAGCAGCAGCAATATGCGCTCGCAGCGGCTCATCAGCCTCACATCGGTAAGTCCCTGAGCCACGCCTCCCCTAAAGAGCTGTGAGCACTGTTGTCGCTCGCTGGATGCTGCAGAGCCAGTAGTGCAGATTGATAGGACACATCCAACCGCACCCCTCAGAGCAGATGGCCTCTGCATTTTTCCAGTTGTCTGTAGCTGCTTTTGTAACCATTGGCACACTAGACCTGGGTGAATGAGTTTTCTTAGTGTCCAGCCATTGCTCCACCTCAGCTGTTGTCAGGTTTTAGCCTTTTTACCACAATCTTGATGAGTGGCCATCATCAGCTCTTTTGGTAAGACAAAATTTACAAATTCAATCTTGGGTAGCCTGTGAGTTTATCTACTTCTTATCTTACTAAAGCAAATAGTACCTATAAATTCTTTTTCCAATGAAAAGATGTAAAAGTACTCTCAAATAATTGTTGATTTTTAAGTAGTTTTGTCCATTTGCTGTAGCAGTTGTTAATATTTTGGTGGGCATTTGACATCGTATTGCACACACCTACTTTCTTCCACTGAACCTTCTTTTCTCTTCAAAATAGAATGATATAAACAAGTAGAAGTGGAAAACTTTTTTTTTTTAATGAACCAAAGTGGCTTGATTGAGTGGAAAGGAGGTGGCTAGGTGGCTAATCTTGGATTTTGTGTATGCTGTGGGAGAAAAAAAAAAAAACTGCTTCAAAACTTAACTAATAGGAGAGTATAAAGGCCTTTGATTCTGATACTGTGTAGTTGTGTAGGTGGCCTATATAAATATTCTTACCTTTTCTTTGAGGAAAACTATTTGGAAAATGGTTTTAAATGGAAATAAACCTTTTCCACCATCCTATTTTAGCTTTGTACAATTTTAATTATTAAATTATGTTAAATTCAAAACTATATAAACAGCATTAATTTAAGTGTTTCTTTAGCAAAGCTTTAAAATATAGGTAACTGTTAGTATAATCTTTAGTGTAGGGGTTCTTTTGTCTTTTAAAAGTTATTCTTTACTCTCAACATATCCTTTCTCTTTTTTGTTGTTTTCCTTATCTACAGCCTGGAATGCATAGCCAAACCGTGTAGGTATTTGGTAGGGCTGCAGTTTTAGTCAAGTCTGTTTTTACTGACAGGTGTGTTTTCAGCAGGTTTAGCTCCCGCTGCATTTGTCCCAAATCCATACATCATCAGTGCTGCTCCCCCAGGAACGGACCCCTACACCGCTGGATTGGCTGCAGCAGCAACACTAGGTGAGACATTTTGTTGCATGTGGGATTTGCTCACCTGCTAACAAGTCATTTAAGATGAGCATGCATTCTCTATACTCTGTCCCAAGTCCACATATCCAGCGAAAATTCCTCCTGGTTTTCAGTGCCATTTCCCTGCCTGTAGGATAGCTCTACTTAGCCCTAACAGCCCTTCTGACATGAACATGTGGAATGACAAGTCACCTGCCTCTTGGGTAGGTATTTTTCGATCCGTGGAGTCACCTGTTGCTCATTTATATTTTGGGAATTTCTTTCTTTTCCAGAGTTTCCTGTTCACTCTAGTAGTCTGCCATTGTTTAGGTCTTTGGACTCGTCTCTCTGCATATTCCTAATTTCCTTGCCTCTTTCCCTTACTTCATCCACCTAAATTGTTCTGAAAAATGGTTTCAAGTGTCAGAGTTAACTTTTCACCTTTCTGCTTAAATCCTTTATTGATTCCTAGTTTTCCCACCCTCCTATGGTTGAGCATTATACCTTTCTTAAGTGGCAGTGGTTTACTGTTTGTTGGAATCAGTGTTTTTCAGGACTACCAGGTAATTCTGAGGACTAGCTGGAGTTGGAAGCCACTGCAGAGGCCTTATGAGGGCACCACTCTCTTCCCTCATAACTAATTACCATCTGCTTATACTATACATCGCAGCAATATTAATCTGAATTTAATTTGCTTTAGATACTGTCCTGGAGTAGGCCTCTATCTTTGGACACTGTTGTCTCTTTAATCTTCTGTACTAAGCTCTTTTACCCCATTCTTTGCCTGGGAAACTTCTTAGTCTGCATTGTGACCTCTAGAAATCCTTCTGTGCTCCCTGTTCCCTATCCTTCTCTATCACTAATTATTGCACTGTTTTTATTTGCTTGTGAATATGAATATATATGTATATGAGTTGACTCCAGAGACTGAATATGTGTATGTATGTATGTATGCATGTATGTATGTATGTATGTATGTGAGTTGGCTCCAGAGACTGAATCTCTCAAAGGTAAACTTTTGTTGGTGGTATAGTTGCTGTCATTCATGCTGGGGCTATAAATATATGGTGTTTTGAGTTCAATGTTAGGATAAGCAAGATGCCATCCAACATATTCTTTGAGGACAGATTCCTTTAAGTCATATTATTGGGACTAAATGTTACAGTGAGATGTTTTATATGTATAGCATATAGTTTGCCATTGTGAGCTCATTGTAGCTTGGCATTTCTGAGATCTTATTCAGAACTGTTCACATGAGGTAATGGGAATATTTAATATAGGCTACCACCCCTAACCCCACCTTTAGGGAAAATAGAGAAAGCTCCTTCTATGGCTAATGTTTATTGAACACTGGGCTCTGACCTTAGTTGTCAGTTGATGGTTTTTATAGTTTAGGGACTCTGGGACAACTCAGTAAGTTGTCTTGTATGAGAACCCAATTTAAATGTCATTGATTTGGGGTTTCAACCAGATTTAACTTCAAGGTCCATGTGTATACATCATTATATTATATAAAGTGGCTATGCTATTATGAATGAACTTCTCTGTACTCTCTTTAGAAGTCTTTCCCTTTTCCCTCAGCTAACAATATATGTGACTTGAAGAAGAACTGATCTTAGGGGTGAAATACTTGATGTCGTTGAGGTGATAGGTTGGTGATGAGAATCTTGATTTCTTGTAATTATCTTTTGAGCCAGACTGACCGTGATTTAACTACTTCTATGCTTAACATAAAATGTGTACCAAACAATGCAACTATACTTTTTTGGAGTGCTACTTGTACAGGAAGCAGGGCAGTCTTAATGTCAGTGTTGCCAGTAGAGAATCTTCATGGGCTTTTGAGGGAGTCTTGGGACTGTCATTGCAGGTTACAGCACTTCCTTTCAAGACAGGTGTGACCATATTCCTGGTACGTGTTAACAGCTATTTTAGCAATAAGCAAAGGGGTTAGGGTTGTGGTATAACGAGTTAAGCCACCAACTGCAATGCCCGCACCCCATATTGGCGCTGGTTCAAGCCCCATCTGCTCTGCTTCCCATGCAGCTATCTTGCTAATGTGCCTGGGAGAGCAGTGGAGGATGGCCCAAATGATTGGGAGATCTGAATGAAGCTCCTGTCTGCTGACTTTGGCCTGGCCCAGCCCTGGCTATTGTGGCCATTTGGAGAGTGAACCACCAGATGAAAGATCTCTATTTCTCCCTCTAACTCTACCTTTCAAATAAATAAAAAATAAAGTCTTTAAAAAAAAAGAAAAGAAAGAAGGAAGCAAACTAAGGCATAGTGTGGCATCTTTTTTGTGTTTTTCCTTTTTTTCCTCTTCTTCCTTCCTTTGACTAGTTGATGAACTCTTGTCATATGAGTTTGGGACCCCACAACTCTAACTTGGTGATACTGATTTTGTACTGTTAGGTTCTGACAAATTAATACTTAAACTCATTAGCTTATTATAATAACAGTTCATATTTATAACATGGCTTTTCTAAGCAGTGCCTTCATTCTGCACCCAGGTAGACTGTTTCATGGTGGGCATTCCTGCTTGTACACAGAGCTTCTTGATCTTTATTCTGCCCATAGATTCGGAAAACACCAGATTAGAAATGCTAAAGCAGGGATGGGCATTTGGCATAATGGTTAAGATGGCTGATGGGATGGGGTATCCTATATCAGAGTACGTGGGTTTGAGTTGTGGCTCTGTTCCCAATTTTCATCTCTGGCTAATAGGCATCCTGGGATGCAGCAAGTGGTGGCTCAAGTGGTTGTATCCCTGCCACCAACATGGGATACTCAGATTGAGTTCTCAGCTTCTGGCATCAGTCTGGCCCATGGTGGCTGTCGCATGCATTTTGGGAGTGCACCAGTGTTTGGGAGATCTCTGTCTATCTCCCTGTTTGTCTCACTCTCTGGCTTTCAAATAAATACATATAAATTTTACAAAAGGTCAAAACATATCATTGGACACTTTAACATATTTGTTTTAGAAGCTAAAAGTGGAGAAACAATAAACATGTACCAATTTATTTTGAGTTAATGATGTTATGTGTTTCTCCAGAAATAGCCACTATCTCATAATATCTGTAACATTTAAAATAGCTCTGTGGAACTCCAGCATAAGGCTTGGTTATTATAAGTAAGTCAGACTGTCAATATTCAACCTGTGCTGTAAGGTAATTCAAATTGGAGATGTGCTTTTAGTAGATTCAAGAAGCTGGCTTTAAGACCTTTACTTGGTTTGCAAATTTGCATCCTTGGTGTTTCTTGCTACTGTCTTCACCTGAGAATTCTGTGGTTTAGCCATGTCCAGGTTGATGGATGCATAATGCTGCCACACCTACTTCGCCTACTCTCTGTGGCAGTCTACAGTTGTAACATGTTGGTAAAGAGGGTAGTAGTTAATTTGGATTAAAGCAGAGCACTTAGTTTTGTTTAGGATATTTAGCAAATTTATATTAAAATCAAGGTGTTGTATTTTTTGTTTCCATATATCTTCAGGTTTGATTTAAATTTAAAAAGGCATATCGGGGCCGGCGCAGCGGCTCACTAGGCTAATCCTCCGCCTTGCGGCGCCGGCACACCGGGTTCTAGTCCCGGTCGGGGCGCCGGATTCTGTCCCGGTTGCCCCTCTTCCAGGCCAGCTCTCTGCTGTGGCCCGGGAGTGCAGTGGAGGATGGCCCAAGTGCTTGGGCCCTGCACCCGCATGGGAGACCAGGAGAAGTACCTGGCTCCTGCCATCGGATCAGCGCGGTGCGCTGGCCGCAGCGTGGCGGCCATTGGAGGGCGAACCAACGGCAAAAGGAAGACCTTTCTCTCTGTCTTTCTCTCTCACTGTCCACTCTGCCTGTCAAAAAAATAAAAAAAAATAAAAAATAAAAAGGCATATCAAGGTCTGAGTGCAGTTGTGTTTAATGTTTCTGTTACTTAAAAATAGAGATGGGAAAACACAGCCTCTGTGAAGTTGAGCCGGGGAGATTCACTTTGAGTATTCACTTGAAGATTGATAGGTTTTCCTGCTTCTAGAGGTCATGAAGCACCAGGATCCTGGTTACTTATGATTATATTAAGCAGTATACAAATGAATCCTTCGTTTTTATCCATCAGTTTAAGCCTACATACTTTGTTTCCCCCCTTTATTTTAAAGATTTATTTTATTTATTTGAAAAGCAGAGTTGCAAAGAGAGAGAGGGAGAGACAAAGAGGGGAGAGAGGTTTTCCATCTGCTCGTTCATTCTCCAAATGGCCATAATCGCTGGGGCTGCGCCAGGCTGAAGCCAGAAGCCAGCAGCTTCTTCTTGGTCTCCTACATGGGTGCAGGGACCCAAGCACTTGGCCACCCTCCAGTGCTTTCCCAGGTACATTAGCAGGGAGCTGGAATGGAAGTAGAACAACTGGGACTCGAACTGGTGCCCATATGAGATGCTGGTGCCGCATGTGGCAGCTTAACCTTAACCTGCTACAATCTGCTACAATCTACTACAATCAACACTGGCTCCTGTTGATTTCCCTCCTAATAAACTTTGTCTGTAACAGTCCTACATCCTTTCTTTTTCAGGGGAAGAACATGTTTGTATCTAAGGCCAGTCCTCTGTACTTAAGTCAAACCCCCTTATCAGTTTTGTCCTTTTCAGGGTCTCCTACATTTTGTACCTTACTGGCTTCTTCTTCTAGGCCTAGAGTATGTAAGTGGTATTACTGACTTTAGAAGACATGGTAGAAAGAACTCATGTAATATTTTCTATTTTTTAAAAAAAGAATTAATAGCTTGTTAAATTAATATTTTACAGTAAGGTCTGCTGAGTCATATGTTGTCTTTGGAAACCCTGTACTTGTCTAAACTTTTCTTACCTTCCGAGATCAGACGAGATCGGCGCGATCAAGGTGGTATGGCCGTAGACTAAACTTTTCTTACCTTCTTTTTACTATTTTTAGGCCCAGCTGTGGTCCCACACCAGTATTATGGAGTTACTCCCTGGGGAGTCTATCCCGCCAGTCTTTTCCAGCAGCAAGCTGCTGCTGCTGCAGCAGCTACTAATTCTGCTAATCAGCAGACCACTCCACAGGCTCAGCAAGGACAGCAGCAGGTAAGTGTAAACAAAGTGTACCTCCATCTCCATGTGAATTTTAGTGATTGTATCTAATTAATAGATAGTGTTGATTCTAATAGAACTGCACTGAATATATGTATTCTCCCTTGTGTGTGTATCTGAACTCGGGCTCAAATTTAACTGTGCTTATGGAATATCCTTTATCAGGCCCATGGAGAATGGAACTAGGTGAGGTAATGCTATTAATTCAGTTTGCGCATGAGAAGACTACTTCAAAGGGTTGTCCACTTAATAAGGTTAACTAGCTAGCAAGGAGCAAAGCTGGTCTTCAAACTGAGGGTAAAAACTTCTGTTCTGCCATACTGTGCTTGTCTGCTAAGGACCATATTCAGGTTACTTTAGGGAGCGCTGTGAGTGGCTTGCTGATGAAAGGGTGGTATTAGTTCTTTAGTTATTCCCAACACTTGTTAAATTGCATCTAAACCTTAAATCTTTCATGTGTGCTTAGAGGAACTTTTTGATTGATTTGGGAAGAATAGTTAGCTGCAAAATTAAGTACTGTATATAGAGTTTTTACTATACCATTGTTTTCCTGATTACTAGAATAATACCTCTTTGTTGCTAAAAATAGCAGTGAACTGGAAAACTATAAAAATAAAAAATCTCAAAATATTAATGTGATTGGTGTTGTTTGTAAGATTTATTTATTTATTTGAGGCAGAGTTACAAAGAGGCAGAAGGAGGGAGAGAGAGAGAGAGGTCTTCCATCCACTGGTTTACTCCCAAATGGCTGAAATGGCTGGAATTGTGCTGATCCAACGCCAGGACCAAGGAGCTTCTTCTGGGTCTCCCATGTGGGTGCAGGGGCCCAAGGACTTGGGCCATCTTCTGCTTTCCCAGGCCATAACAGAGAGCTAGATTGGAAGTTGAGCAGCCGGGACTCAAATTGGCCCCCCTTTGGAATGTTGGCACTATAGGCAGCAGCTTTACCCACTACCCCACAGTGCCAGCCCCAAACCTGAAGCTTTAAGCACAATTTTGGGCAAGAAAAAAATCTTCATCTTGACATTCATTTACAAGGCTGGAACAAAACCTATCAACAGATTTGCAATCTTTTATGCTGTTTGGCTTGCTCATGATAAAACAAAGAGCCATCAGAAGGGTGTGATAGGTAACTTATTTACAGTAGACTGTGAGCTCAGGAGGATAGAATCACCACTCTTGCTATTTTTATGGTTAAACAAAGGTCTTGAAATTCTAGCTGTTTTATCTTAGATCAGTAATTTAACAGTTATCTTCGGAACAGTTGCAGTTCTAGTACTGGGTATGTAACATGGAAATCCAATAAATAATTTGTTGACAGAATGAGTGTGCTCTGTATTAAATTTGACAGTAGTTTCTCTGTGTGGATAAACCTATATTTCTTTATGTGATGAACTTTGTGTCTAAAGTGGCTTCCAGATCATCATGGATTTGGAAGACTGAAGTAAATGATGTATTTTAAAATTAGTTCTGGGCCTGGTGCCATGGCACTGTAGGTTAATCTTCCATCCCATATGGGCGCCGGTTCTAGTCCTGGCTGCTCCTTTTCCAGTCCTGCTCTCTGCTATGGCCTGGGAAAGCAGTGAAAGATGGCCCAAGTGCTTGGGCCCCTGCACCCGCGTGGGAGACCTGGAAGAAGCTCCTGGTTCCTGGCTTTGGATCGGCGCAGCTCCAGCTGTTGTGGCCAATTGGGGAGTGAACCAATGGAGGGAAGACCTTTCTCTCTGTCTCTCCTTCTCACTGCCTGTAACTCTACCTCTCGAATGAATAAATAAAAAAATCTTTTAAAAAATTAGTTCTGATATGTGAGGAAGAATAATAGTAATAACTGCTGTTTATTGACAGCTTTGTGTTTTTTTTTTAAGTTAAGATTTATTTATTTATTTGAAAATCAGAGTTGGTTGGGGGTGGAGAAGATCTTCCATCCTCTGGTTCACTCCCCAATGGTCACAATGCCCAGTACAGAGCCAGGCCCAAGCCAGGAACCAAGAGTTTCATCTAGGTCTCCCATGTGAGTGGCTGGGGTCCAAGTACTTGGGCCATCTTCTGTTGTTTACCCAGGCCGTTAGTAGGGAGCTGGATCTGAAGTGTAGCCTCTGGGACGCAAACTGGTGCCCATATGGGATGCTGGCTTGGCAGGTGGTGGCTTTATGTGCTATGCCACAGTGCCAGTGCTGTGGTGCAGCTAGTTAAAGCCCCAGCCTACAGTACCAGCATCCCATATGTTTGTCTCTACCTCTCTCTGTAACTCTTTGTTTCAAATAAGTACAATAGATCTTTGGGAAAAAAAAAAAAAAAAAAAGTAAAAAAGCTTAAGGCTCTGCATATATATATTTTTTTTTTTTTAAATGATCCCCAGATGGCTGCAAAGGCCAGAGCTGGGCTGATCTGAAGCCAAGAGCCAGGATCTTCTTCCGGGTCTCCCACATGGGTGCAGGGGCCCAAGCACTTGGGCCATCTTCCACTGCTTTCCCAGACTATAGGCAGAGAGCTAGATTGCAAGTAGAGCAGCCACGGCATGAACCGGCACTCATACGGGGTGCCAGTGCTCAGGCAGAGGCTGAACCTACTATGCAAGTGCACCGACCCTACATATAGTTTCAGTTTCTTTTGTAATACTGTTAAGTAGAATATATTTCATTTTATGATTGAAAAAATGAATTTTTTCTAGATTTATTTACTAATTTAAAAGGCAGAGTTAGACAGATAAAGATAATCTTCCAACTGATGGTTCACATGCCAAATGGCCATAATGGGCAGGGCTGGGCCAGGCCGGAGCCAGGAGCCAGGAGCTTTTTTGGATCTCCCACGTGGGTGTCAGTGACCCTACTCCTTGAATCATCTTCTGCTACTTTCCCAGGCACACCAGCAGGGAGCTGGATCAGAGGAGAGCAGCTGGGACCCAAATTGGTGTCCTGTGCCACAATGTTGAACCTGGAAAATGGAATTTGTATATTTAGGGTCATACAGAGATTTAGTTATTAATTTGAGTACCAGTTGCTATTTTTTATAAAGATTTCTTTATTTTATTTGAAAGGCAGAGGTACGGAGAGAGATAGAGAATCACAGAGACAGATCTTCCATCTGCTGGTTCACACCCTAAATGGCTGCAACTGGTAGAGCTGGGCAATCCGAAGCTGGGAACCAGGAGCAGCTTCTGGGTCTCCTGCTTGCATGCAGGGGCCTCAGTACTTGGGCCATCCTCTACTGCTTTTCCAGGCACATTAGCAGGGAGTTGGACTGGAAGTGGAGCAGCTGGGACTTGAACAGGTGTCCATATGGGATGCTGGCACCGCAGGTGGTGGCTTAACCTGCTATACCACAGTGCTGGCCACCAGTTACTATTTTCATAACTTGTTTTCTGACCATAATGTGATAATTGGAATTAAAAATAATTTGAAATCTGGTATTCTACCATTAACTTGCTGCAACTAGGACATATTGCAGGACTTCTCTGATTTTATGAGGATACTTAATAAAAGACATTACTTTCAAAATTTTTGGCTCTAGCTTCCTAATACTGCAGAACCTGAGAGACAACAGTGATAGATCAAATGATTGGATCCCTGCCACCAGCTTTCAAGACCCAAACTGAATTCCTGGTTGCTAGCTTTGACCTTGGCCTGTCCTTGGATTCAGTCATATGGGGTGGAAACCAATAGAGGGGATTTGTGTCGTTTTTGACTCTCAGATAAATAAGTACATGTTTAAGGTTCATTGGAAAATGAAATTAAAAGGTAAGTTTATTTTGGTGCAAAGAAAATTTGAAAGCCATGCCTATTTTTTCATAATTTAGATTTATGGAATTAATAGTTAAGTTTATTTTGGTGCAAAAACAAATCACCTTTGAAAGCCATGCATGGATTTTTCATAGCTGTGCACTTAGGAACTTTTTGAAGATCCCTCAGATTTTTGTTTGTATCAGGCTAAACTTAGCTTTTAATCCCATTTTCCATGAACTTTTTTCCCTTGCTACAAAATAGACATCACAATCATTTACTTTCCAAAGTTTTTGATCATCCATAATTACAGATTCTCTAAGACTGGTTTTAACATTAGCTTTGTAAAAAAGACTTTTTAAATTTATTAGAGAGAGCAATCTATTATCTGCTGTTACTCCTCAAATACACAGTGGGCTGGACCAGTCTGAAGCTGAGAGTGGGAATGCTATTCGGATCTCCTACGTGGTTGTTAGGGAGTGAAGTCCTTGAACCATCACCTGTTTCCTCCCAGGATGCACAGTAGCAAGAACCTGGATTTGAGATCAGTGTTGGGATTACAAACACTGTGAGAAGGGGACGTGAGCTTCCTAAGCCCTCCATCAAAGGCCCGCCTGAAACATTATTAATGCTTTTAATAAACCTCGACTGTTTTAGTTCCATTGTTCTTTTTCCCCTACTTCCTCCCAGTTTTTATTTCAAGTATTTGAAGAAAGTTTTATTTTCTTAATGAATTGATGACTTTTCTTGTGGCCATTTTGACCCTTCATCAGAAAGTATATGTATTTTTTTCCAGTCAAGCCAGCTGTTACACACTTTGCAGCAGAGTAGGTGATATTCTAGCTACTGAATTTTAATTCTGATTCCTGTTTTTGTCCTTCACAATTCCTTTGACATCTGATTTACATTTTTTTTTAATTTTCTGTTTTTGAGTGCTTATAATTAAGAATGAAGGAGAGCCTCGTCATTGGGTGGCAAACTTAGTGGAGATTAGATGATGGGTTTTTCATTTTCAGAATGAGTTTAGAGGGCTGGTGTTGTGGCGTAGTGGGTAGACCCGCTGCCTGAGATGCCAGCATCCTGGTTTGAGACCCAGATGCTCCACTTCCTGTCCAGTTTCCTGCTGTTGGCCTGGCAAAGCAGCAGAGTATAGCCTACATACTTGGGCCCCTGCACCCACATGGGAGACTTAAAAGAAGCTCCTGCCTCCTGGCTTCTACCTGACCCAGCCCCAGCTGTTGTGGCCACCTGGGGAGTGAACCAGGCAATGGAAGACCTCTCTCTCTCCGTCTCTCTCTCTGTCTCTTCCTCTCTCTCTAACTCTTTCAGATAAATAAATAAACTTAAAAAATGAGTATAGAAGGGCTTCTGAACCTTCTGGATTGTGGGAGAGTTTAGATGATGATTCTGGGGAGCCTAGTGTAGAACTAACAAGGATGAGTGATTATTCATGTATCTCCTTTGAGCATGTACTTGCTTTTTGCTTTTAAGTGCTGTGTTTAAATTTGTACCTTTGAACAGAAATTTGGATTTAACAATCTAGTATTAACAACAAGCAATAAATTCCCTTTTTTGGGTACTGCTAGGCAGATTGATAGTCATTTTTTTATTTTATTAGTCTTTAAAATGTTACCCTTTCCATAAAATCCACAGACTTTGATAGTTATTGATGAAATTATTTTTTTTTTTTTATTTTTATTTTTTGACAGGCAGAGTGGACAGTGAGAGAGAGAGACAGAGAGAAAGGTCTTCCTTTGCCGTTGGTTCACCCTCCAATGGCCGCCGCGGCCGGCGCGCTGCGACCGGCGCACCGCGCTGATCCGATGGCAGGAGCCAGGAGCCAGGTGCTTTTCCTGGTCTCCCATGGGGTGCAGGGCCCAAGCACCTGGGCCATCCTCCACTGCACTCCCTGGCCACAGCAGAGGGCTGGCCTGGAAGAGGGGCAACCGGGACAGAATCTGGCGCCCCGACCGGGACTAGAACCTGGTGTGCCGGCGCCGCTAGGCGGAGGATTAGCCTAGTGAGCCGTGGCGCCGGCCTTATTGATGAAATTAAATATGTGACTATTGAATGTTGGCTGATAACTTAGGAACTTTGATATATAGTCAAGGTGCTGCACAGATATTTAGAGAGTAGACAGAAAGCTAATACATACATTGCTTTCATTCCTCATTGAAAAACAAGAACCTTGGGGGCCGGCACTGTGGCGTAGTAGGTTTAGCATCCGCCTGGGCACTGCTCCCATATGGCTGCCAGTTTATGTCCTGGCTGCTCCATTCCCTGCTGATAGCCTGCAAAAGCAGTAGAAGATGGTCCAAGTGCTTGGGCCCCTGCAACTCTGTGGGAGACCTGGAAGAAACTTCTGGCTCCTGGCTTTGGCTAGGCCCAGCTCTGGCCATTGGTGGCTATTTGGGGAGTGAACCAGTGGATGGAAGACCTGTCTGTCTTTAACTCTGTCTCAAGTAAATAAATAAATCCTTTTAAAAAAACAGAATGGAAAGTCATTATTTAAAAAACAGACCCTTCCATACTCTGTACTATCACTTTCTTTTGTTACTTTGTCCATTCCATCATTCCTGCCCTTTGACACATCCCATAACCAATTATGAAACTAGCTCTTTATGCTCTATGAAAACAATATTCCTCATGCCATTTCCTTTTTTGTTTTGCAGGTTTTTTTTTTTTTTAAATTTTTTAAGATTTTATTCGATAGAGATACAGAGAGAAAGGAGTGAGTGTAGGAGATTTTCCATCCACTGGTTCACTCTCAGTGGGGCTGGGCCAGGCTGAACCCAGGAACCTCTTCCAGGTCTCTGACATGGGTGGCAGGGGCCCAAGGACTTGGGCCATCTTCCACTGCTTTCCGAGGTGAACTAGCAGGGAGCTGGATCAGGTGTGGAACAGCTGGGACTCAAATCAGCATCCACATGGGATGCTTGCACTGCAGGGAGTGGCTTAACTTTCTATCCCACAGCACTGGCCCCATCTTTGGTAGTCTCTGGATAGGCATTTTCTAAGTCTTGGCTTCAATACGTGTGCTGCCTTCCTTGTCTTTTCTATCTGTGTAGTTTGAAGTGCTTTTTCTCTCGCAAAGTTGTCTAAAAGACATTATTTTTTTAATATTCTAACAAATAGGTAAAATCAGCTGTTAACTCTAGACTTACAATTAAAGAAACTAGAGGCTCTAATTTTAGCCTTGATCTATGCATTTTCTATTTTACATGCTTGCATATATGTATGTAGAGTTTGTAAAATAGATTCTTCAGATCCTTTAGTATAAGAATGATTACTAGCACCTTAATAACTCTGTTTCATTGATGAGAACTAGATCCTGTACCACAGTGGCGTATCTGGTATACTCATCTCCATTTAGATGAGTGTCTTTGGGGAATTTATGAAAGGAGAAATAGAAACAGATCAGAATCCTTTTATATCAAATCTGTTGAGCTCATTTTGGAGCCATTTGAGCCTTGATGAATGGGTAGTTTTATGTAAAAGTGAAGAAAATGGTCTCATATCCATATAAAGAGAATATAGCTTCTTTTGTGTGTAGGGGTATTTTTTTTGGGTGGCTGTTTATAAGGGTAATACATTTAAAAATAAGAATGGTAGAAAATTCATTATATCAAGTTGTTAATTGAATTTCTGGACTAACAGCTATGCCATTATAGGGAACATGTTTTTATCACTTATTAATTTGTGCAGGTTGACCCACCTTGAGAATGACAGTGGCTATTCTACACTTCGAATGAGAAGAAAGTCATTGACCTATTTCTTTCTCCCATTCCTAGGTTCTCCGAGGAGGAGCCAGCCAGCGCCCTTTGACCCCAAATCAAAACCAGCAGGGCCAACAAACAGATCCGCTAGTGGCAGCTGCAGCAGTGAATTCTGCCCTTGCGTTTGGACAAGGTCTGGCTGCAGGCATGCCAGGTGAGGCTGTGTTGTTGTTTGTAATACTTTGGGGAAGAAAAAAAGGTCTACTCATTGGGATTATGTTGAGGAATATGGACAATACTTTCACCTTGTTTAGGCTTGTTGTTGTGGCTTGGCGACTGGCAAGGATGATAGATACTTGCCCTCACTTAGACTATAGTTCGTTGATGAGAGCATTGTTCTGAGCCAGTCTGGAGTCTTAAATGTTGCAGATATGTTACTATTCACATAGGTAGCAATACGTGATTTTTCTTTGATGGTGAACTGGTTTCTTCAGGACTAGGGATATATGGAATGGCCAGCCTATTGAATTATCACTCCAAGGCTTTAGTCTTTCTTTTAAAGATTTTCGTTATTTGGAAGGCTGAAGGAGAGAGAGAGAGAAAAAAACACAGAGAGAAACAACGAGAGAAAGAAAGAAAGGGAATGAATATCTTCATCCTGGCCTCTCATGTGGGCTGTCAGGTGCTGCCTTCTTAGGTATATTAACAGGAAGCTGAATCTGAAGCAGAGCAGCTGAGACTGTAACAAGCACTTGGATAGGTAAGCTATGACTTAACCCACTGTGTCACAACACTGGCCCCCAAGGCTTTTAGTCTTTCTGCTTATGTATTTGAAGAGTGTAATTACAAAGAAATTCTGGGTATTTTTGGTGGAGTCATACCTTAATTTGTGGGGCTTATCCCAAGTCAATAATAGAGGTACATTTTAGCTGCCTATTTCTGAGGTTAGAGATATGTCTTGAGTATATGATGTTCTCAGCTTGTCACCTGTACCTATGCTTTGCATGGAATTGAATGTAGCTTATTATACTTTGTTTGAGACAGATCTTATCATATCTGTTATGGATTTTAACAGATTGAAAAGTGTAGCTTCATCAGCTGATTTATGGATTCAGTGAATAACTTGCTTCATTTGAGAAGTCACCTGCAGTTTCTCATGTGACTCAAACTAGGAGTGGGAGATCCCACATCATCTAGTATTGAAAGATCCTGTCAGTTGAAGCATATCTAGTCTTCCTGCTAACTTGCAGGATATTTGTACTTAGATTATTTTGTGAGATATGTGTATGAAATTATTGTGATTGTTGTAACCATTTGTAGCCTTTTTGTTATTCATTTAGTCAAGAACACAAAATAGTTGTCAGTATAAGATTACTGGTGATGGCCGGCACCGCAGCTCACTAGGCTAATCCTCCGCCTGCGGCGCTGGCACTCTGGGTTCTAGTCCTGGTTGGGGTGCCGGTTCTGTCCTGGTCGCTCCTCTTCCAGTCCAGCTCTCTGCTGTGGCCCGGGAGTGCAGTGGAAGATGGCCCAAGTGCTTGGGCCCTGTATCCGCATGGGAGACCAGGAGGAAGTACCTGGCTCCTGGCTTCAGATCGGCACACTGCACTGGCGGCAGCGGCCACTGGGGGGTGAACCAACAGAGGGAAGACCTTTCTCTCTGTCTCTCCCTCTCACTGTCTAACTCTGCCTGTCCAAAAAAAAAAATATATATATATATATATATTACTGGTGATAACCTTGGCTGGTGCTCTAAAGAGCGCAACTATCCCTATCCCACCCTATCACTTTCTAACCCTTTTCGGATGATGAGTAACACTGCCCCCTACAGTGCCCTTAATAGGGATCAGACATCCTGCTGGATCCTTCACCTCCATCTTTTAGCAAGAACTTTATAAGTTAGGTTGTACTGTTGCTAAACTTAAAGGAAGCACTGTACAAATTTTTCTGGGGCATATGTGAATTGACAGCAGCATTACTCTTGCACTTTGGGCCCATTATTAAGTAAAATAACGGGCACTGGGACCACAGAAACTACAATACTGCAAAGCTGCTAAGTGTAGTTACTAAGTGACAACCGGCAAGTAGCCTGTGCAGCAAGGACAAAGGCAGGCTTCATATCTCAAGCAGGGTGGTGTGATGTTTCATTATGCTGCTCAAGATGATGTGTCTGCTTATTCCTGAGGGCTGCCTTTGACAGCACTTTGCTTCATCATGAAGGATGAATCAAGAACCGAGTGTCTGCTAGCAGTAAGCCTAGAAATATACCTCTGACCGTGCGGATAAGCAGATACCTGTCGTTTGCTGGACATGATTTCTATTCCTGCCTCCTGGTTGGTTGTTAATCATAGAACAGTCAAAAGTGTGAACTTCCAAGACATTTTTTGCCCTGCCAATTGGATGCAGATTCATCTCTTTAAACTAGCTAGTCAAAAAAGGACACTCTTTGGCACCACTTTGTGTGATAAAAGCCCTCAGACGCAAGCTACTTGGGCAGCTCTTCCTTTGGAGCCCACCTCTCCTGACGGCTGCATCAGGGTGGTGTCCTGCTTTCAATAAACCACAGAAGATGGCATGTGATTTCAAACTAATGAATTGCTTATTCTGAAATTTTCACATTTAATATTTTCAGATGGTGATTGTGGAAACTGAAACCTTGGAACATGAATGTGTGGATAAAGGAGGATATTTATATGTTGGCTTGATATTCCTAGGTTATCCAGTCTTGGCTCCAGCTGCTTACTATGACCAAACTGGTGCCCTTGTGGTGAATGCAGGGGCAAGAAATGGTCTTGGAGCCCCTGTTCGACTTGTAGCTCCTGCGCCAGTCATCATTAGCTCTTCAGCTGCACAAGCAGGTGAGCTTCCTTCTGTGGACTCTTGTCAGAGCAATCCAGGAGGGGAGGAGGGACAACTGATGAAGATGTTCCTAACATATATTGAAATATGCTGTATTTGACAGTTCTCAGTGTAGCAATTCTACCTGTAATATTTCAAAGAAAGAATCAGAAGCAACAAATGACCTTAGTAGAATCTGATTGTTGAGGGTGCATGTACCATAAGGTTAGAAGCAAGCACTGGCTCCACTGAGAACAGAGGAGGTTGGATTATTCACATAAAATGGCAATGTTGGCTGAAATCCAGATCTTATTTCACAGCAACCCAAGCCATAATTTTAATATAACTTTGGGCTGGGGGTTTTATTATTTTAACATGCAGTAAGGGTGGAGGAAGGGTGTTGGAAGTGGTAGAGTCTTGCATTTGATCAGGGGTGGGGGAATAATATTTGTTCACTTTAAGCTTTTAAACTTTCTGGAATTAGGAACAATAGAGGGAATTTAAAAGAGAACAGCATGCTAAAATAGGAGTTTGAAAGACTTTAGTTAATAGGAGACATGGTTGTAGGAAAAAAACTCAACAGGTATTTGTACAATTTGTGATTTGGGGAGGTAGTTGTATTTAATGGGTACTTTTGATGTTTGTACCACTTTTAAACTACAGACTACTGACAGTGAACTTGCTCCAGTGATATTTTGACTTCAGATTGAAAGCAGAAATAGAAAATAGAAGCTTCTGATGTAAGGGTCAAAGGAAAATTCATACAGTTCTTTACAAGCTTTGTGTCTGCCCTAAAAAAAGTAGTTAGCATTAAAAAATTTGAACAAAAAGGATAAAAATGTAGTTTGGGTATGTGACCAGTTCATTTCACAGCCAAACGGTTTGCTTTCTTCTTTATAGCTGTTGCAGCGGCCGCAGCTTCAGCAAACGGAGCAGCCGGTGGTCTTGCTGGAACAACAAATGGACCATTTCGCCCTTTAGGAACCCAGCAGCCCCAGCCCCAGCCCCAGCAGCAGCCCAGTACCAACCTGGCCTCCAGCTCTTTCTATGGCAACAACTCTCTGAGCAGCAGTTCACAGAGCAGCTCCCTCTTCTCCCAGGGCTCTGCCCAGCCTGCCAACACGTCTTTGGGATTTGGAAGTAGCAGTTCTCTTGGTGCCACCCTGGGATCAGCACTTGGAGGGTTTGGAACAGCAGGTAGAAATCAGACTCAGTGCTGTTAAAAATGAATTTTAATTATTTTTGCAATCTTTGTGGATGAATTTTAATTATTTTTGCAATCTTTGTGGATACTGATAATGCATGGAACCCTGGAACCACAGGCATATATGACTTGAGCCCTGTGGAAATTCAGCTACCCTCCCCATAATCTTTTGAAATAATGGATTATTGAAATCAAGTTATGTATTTGGGCCTTTTCCAGGTCCATGCTCATGTTATTGCTTATTTATACTCACATGGTTGATTTGTTTTAAGGTTTTGAGAATTGCGGGAAATTCTTACAGGCATTGAGAGGGAACTGTAGAAAGGTGGGCTTTAAAAAACAGGGAGGAGGCCATCCCTGAGATCACAGAGCTGAGCACTCCACATTCAAGACCGAACTGAGTGCTTGGCGTGCAGGCCTTAAAGAGTTAGAAGTTTCTCCATTCTTCTGAGCAAAATTAAAGTAGACTTTGTGCAATATCGGGAGGATAGATGTTAGACCAAGATATTTTTAGTTCTTCGATGAGGGAAGCCAAAAGCTGGTCTATAGTACAGTGAACAATGAGGTAACTGCAGTGGTTAGAAAACAATGTGATTTCAAAAAAGGTATGTTTGAGAGAAAGAATCTTAATTGGAATTGGAGGCTAGTAGTAACTCTTGATTGACTCTACTGAGAAAATAGGCATTCATATATAAGTCTTGTGTAGTGGGGCAAAACCCCATTTACAGTCTTTTTTTCTGTATTCCATTTTTCTACTAGAACCTTTGGGTCAATAAAAGGCATTCTTTCTAGTCCATTTTCTTTCACCTTTTTTCATAGCTTATGTGGCCGTCAGAGCTTTTTAACCCTCCCCTATCCCATAAAATATGACACCAAAGGAAGGTAAATTTGGCATACGTGTGATGGTTTGATCAAAAGTTTCATGTTAACCTGAGCCATGTCCTCTTTCTTACTTTATCTGCCCCTAGAACTGCTACATGAACAGTTAGGCTGTCTCTGCTGACAAATTTGCAGTGGTAAGGAGTCTGGATCAAAGTGTTAGGAACAGGTCACTGGGCTTGTTCTTCGAAGAACAGGCCTGTTCTTATCTGCATTGTTTTAATTCCATTTTAGTTGCAAACTCCAACACTGGCAGTGGCTCCCGCCGTGACTCCCTGACTGGCAGCAGTGACCTTTATAAGAGGACATCGAGCAGCTTGACCCCCATTGGACACAGTTTTTATAACGGCCTTAGCTTTTCCTCCTCTCCTGGACCCGTGGGCATGCCTCTCCCTAGTCAGGGACCAGGACATTCACAGACACCACCTCCTTCCCTCTCTTCACATGGATCCTCTTCAAGCTTAAACCTGGGTAAGAACCATTACTCTACCACCACTTGAACTCTAGAACTCTCTTGCCACTGATGCCATTATAAGTACTTTGCATAAGCAAAGGACCATCCCTTTATCCTAGCCGTGTCCTGGATGCTCTGTGCCTTCCACATGTTATTCAGGCTGTACCTACAGATAGTATAGAAGCTTTAGACTTACTAGATTTTGGGTATAAACTCTATATACCTTGTGTATTCACATGAGCTTTAGCTTGAACATTTTGTTCTTTGGCTACTTGTGAGACTCTTGCATTACAAACACAGTGCAGGTTCATTTCAGTGCAGCTGGAAAACACAGAGACACAGAAAAATAATTTATTCACCTAGTAACTCCTCCTGAAATGACACCACAATTAATATTTTGCCTTATTTCTTTTCAGATTCTCCCTCCCCATGTATATTTATGTTTACATTTTATGTTAAAATGCTTTCATAAGTAAAGCATTTTATTTAAACAATTTTGCCAGATTCTTAGATAACTATCATAACTATGCTCTTAAACTACACAGTGTGCTAATGAGTAGATGTATGTTTTCCTATTTGGGTCATTTTATATCTGGGTTTTTTTGGTTTTGTTTTTAAAGTGATGTTACCATTTAGATCAAGAGTGGGAACGTCTGGCCCAAGGGTGTGGTCCTGCAAAGGCAGAACTTGAAATGCAGTGAATCTGTAGCAGGCTCATTTTTAAGTCGATCATTTTGTATGGTCTGTAGGTGGTATTATAAATAGCCAGTTGGCCCTTGGCAGAAAAAATATTCCCTACCCCTGACTAAATTGTAGAAAATAGGAGGGTAAAGAGGATACCAAGCTCTGCAGGCTGTAAGAATGAAAAGAAAATCCTGTTAGTGTTTTGTGTGGCAAATCTCTAAATCTTTTACAAGGTAGGAGGTATTTTCTTATCTCAAAGACATGATGCCCACTCCCTTTTCTCTGTTAATTATCAACCGTGGATTTTGAAGTACCAGTTTGTTTCCCAGATAGGGAAAGTAGAGACCTAGAAGTAGAGTGACTATTCAATTGATCGTGCAAGCTGGTGAGTGGGAGTGCTGCTAACAGTTAATTAATGATGACAGGCATCAGAACTGTCCTGACAAGGCAGCATCAGTGGCCACTTCACCTAGCAGGTTCTAGTTCTCAGCAGCAAGTTTAAAGTGAGGACAGACTACAGATGAATACGATAGCTTAATTGAAAAAGACAAAGACTGAGAAATGGTTTATAAGAATCATGAAAACCTGAAGTAGGTAGGGGAATAGAGTTATTCTAGAACTAAGAGTAGTATCTCTGAGTTTCAAAGAGGTAAGTTTCCAGGCAAAACTGTGTGTGTGTGTGTGGGGGTGGTGGTGGTGAAAACTACAGTTGTACAACTCAACATCTGAGGCTGTAAAAGGGCATTACTTTAGAAAAGTTGTAAGGGCATTCCTGATAGGTAGGCCCATAATGGATGGGTAAAGGGATAAGGTGTGTTATAAAAGTGTTTCCTAGTGACTGAACACCTGGCTTTAAACCAGTCAGTGAAAGTAATCCCAGTTTGATATGTGAATAGAGGAAGGAACTAACACTCACTAATGGTTGCCTGCTAGTGGTACTGGATTCGAGTCCTGTACACATAGCTCTGGAGGGCGTAGGTATTATCCCTGTGTTGTGGATGTAAAGAATCCAAGTCTCAAGATGTAATGTTTTCATCTCAGAATTAGAATCAAGCCTTTTTTGGGACCTCAAAGAAAACATACAAATTTCAGTGTATATACTGACACATGGTGTGCACAAGATATCTTTTGAATCAGTACATTATCAAACTCATAAACATTATCTTTAGTTTCTTGGCTTAAACATTTGAATTATGTCATCCCATACTGATATTCAATGAACTAAATCTGCAAAAAATTTTTTTCTAAAAAGTAGATAATGGATGTTTTAGGTTTTCTAGGCCAAATTGTCTCTGAAGTGAATATTGAACTTTGCTGTTGACATGTGAAAGCAGCCACAGACAAAATGTAAATGAATGAGTATACAGCTGTCTTCTAATAAAGCTTTTATTTATAAAAATACATGATGGGCCAGGTTTATCCTGTGGACTGTAGCAGCTCCTGAGTTAATTGCTGTAGCTATTGGTGTTACTTACATCGTAGTGCTTTCCCTCTTCCCAGTATGCCAGCAATTGAATGAATTACTTCTTAATTTATGCTTTCCCTATTAACTCACACTGAGTTATTTTCTGCTTATGTCTTGTTGTGTTTTTTCTTTTTTTAAGATTTATTTTTTTGAAAAGCAGAGTTAAAGGGAGAAAGAGAGGTCTTCCATCTGTTGGTTCACTCTTCAAATGGCAGTAATGGCCAAGGCTGGGCCAGGCCCAAGCCAGGAGCCAGGAGCCTCATCTGGGTTTCCCACATGGGTGCAGGGGCTCAATCACTTGGACCATCCTTTGCTGCTTTCTCACGTACATCAGCAGGGAGCTGGATTGGAAGTGGAGCAGCCAGGACTGGAACCGGCACTCATGTGGGATACAGGCACTGCAGGCTCTGGCCTTACCCTCTGCACCACATCACGGGCCCCTAGTTTTATGTGTAATATATCTTCCCTCATGAGAAATTCTGTGTATTTGCATTGGACTTCTCTCTCACTGCATGTTGTACCGATATCCTATATTATTCCCAAGGAATCTGCTGTCTTCATCAGTAAAGCTTTGCCTTAACTCAGTCTGTTTTCTTGAGAAAAGTGTTCTTCTATGCCATATTCTTAAGCAAGAGAAAATAGTTGAATAGTTCTTGGTTTCTAACAGAGTCCGTGCAGAAATCCTAAACATACTTTGGTGCAAGAAATTTAACATATTCTTACCAAGTTTGTATCGCATCACACTGAGTACAGCGTCTGCTATTCAATACTGCTTCACTGCTCCCCCCAGCCGTCAGTTACTTGATCAGGACCAGCCATACAGACAATTCCGTTTTCATTGTGTTGAGTACTCAGAATAACTCTTCTGCCCATGGAAACTTAACTCGGTGTGATTTAATGAATTTTCTAATAACACATAGTTTGTAAGCATTTGAATGTGGATACCAGCCTATAGTTCTTTTTTTCAGCATGGACATATTCCCTATCACATCATTTTTATACTTCATACTAGTAGTCAGACATATGTTAAGATTCTAAAAACAATTAGTGACCTGCTTAGTAATTTTTATTATTTATTCACTAGTCACTTAATTGAGGGCCAACTAATGATTCTTCAGTGACTTCCATTACCAGTTGTTGAAATTCCAGATGGAGTAGGGTGTGTGGATTCATTCAATTATACTTTACTTATTCATGCATTCTATCAAGTGAAGTTTAGTAATTTTGGTTTGCACAGCAATTCTGTTAAATACATTTTAGAATGTTTATAGCCCTTCAGTAAGATTCTTCATGGCCTGTTGTGGTCAGTTCCATTCTTAGCCCCAGTCAGCCACGATCTGCTTTCTGTCTCTAAATTTGCATGTTCTGGAAACTATACCATGCAGTGTGTGATCTCTTTCTCTTTGCATGTTTTCAAGATTCATCTATAATATACCATGTGTCAGTTCTTTTTTATTGTCAAATAATCTTCCATTTTATAAAAATACCATCTTTGATCTTTCCACTCGTAGCTAATGGACATATTTTTGGCTACTAGGAATAATGCTGCTGTGAACATTAAGTGCACGTGTTTCTTTGTACATGTTTTCATTTCTCCATGGGTAGAATAGTTAGATTGTATTTCTCGTTTTACTTTCTGGGAAACCATCATTTTGCTGGGTCTGTCTTACTGAGTGTAGTTATGGCGGTGGACGTGATAAGATATGTGGTTTTATTTTCCATTTCCCTGATGCCTACTGATATAGCGCGTCTTTTCATGTGCTTATTAACTATTTGTGTTTATATTTGAAATATCTGCTCATCATTTTTGCCTATTTTAAAATTTAGGTTTTATTATTACTGAGGTTTCAGAGTTTTTGTATATGCTGGATATAAGTCTTTTATCAGATACGTGATTTATATGCCTATTTTTTTCACTTTATTTCTTTTTATTATTTCTTTTTAAAATAAGAGCTCTTCTGTCTTCTGGTTCACTCTCCAAATGGCCACAACAGCTGGGGCTGGGTCAGGAGTCAGAAACTCCATCCAGATCGCCTATGAGGTTGGCAGGGGCCCAGGTACTTGGACCTTCCCGTGCTGCCTTCCCAGGTGCAAAAGCAGGGAGTTGGATTAGAGGCAGAGCAGCTGGGACTCCAACCAGAGCCTCAGCACAGGATGCTGGCATCACAAGAGGCAGCTTAACTTGCTGTGCCACAACACCATCCCCTAGTTTTTCATTATTAAAATGGCATTCAAAGTAAATTTTTGTTTTGATGAGGTCTGTGGGGAGCAACTCGGACTAGACTAAGTTATTGGAATTAAGACTTATTCTATGCATCTGCTCTCCCACAATATGGCGCTAGGAGAGGAGAAAGCAGCTTCTACGCAGCTGCCTCTTGCCAACTTGAGTGATGACCTCCAGGAGCTGATCCTGCTCCTGATTGGAGGAGAGCAGCGTACTCGGCGTGTGGGCAGCCGAGTTGGGATTGGCGGAGGAGGACTATAAAGGAGGAGAGAGAAGGCATGCACCAGGAACATCTAAGGGGAACATCTAAGGGGAACACCTGTGCAGCCCCCGAGAGAGCCGGCCGGCGGTGTGCCGCTCCCCCGCGGAAGTGGGGAATGCGGCAGGGGGAACCGCCCTTCCACGGAGGTGGAAGGGACGGACGGTAGCCAACCCGGGAAGAACCAGCAGCCAACCCGGGAAGAAGCAGTAGCAAACCCGGGGAGGGCCGAGCAGACGAAAGAACAGCGCAGGGTCCTGTGTCGTTCCTCCACGAAGACGGGGAGCGACAGAGGTCCAATTTATTATGTGTTGAGTATAGGATCTAAGAAATCCTTGCCTAGCACAAATTCTTGAAGATTTCTTTATTTTTTGTTTTAAAATTT